TGTCCTTTGACAGCTCTTTGGTCTTGGCCATAGTGGAGTTTGGAGTGTGACTGTTTGAGGTTGTGGACAGGTGTCTTTTATACTGATAACAAGTTCAAACAGGTGCCATTAATACAGGTAACGAGTGGAGGACAGGAGCCTCTTAAAGAAGTTACAGGTCTGTGAGAGCCAGAAATCTTGCTTGTTTGTAGGTGACCAAATACTTATTTTCCACCATCATTTGCAAATAAATTCATAAAAAATCCTACAATGTGATTTTCTGGATTTTTTTTCCTCAAATTTGTCTGTCATAGTTGACGTGTACCTATGATGAAAATTACAGGCCTCTCTCATCTTTTTAAGTGGGAGAACTTGCACAATTGGTGGCTGACTAAATACTTTTTTCCCCCACTGTAATAGAATTATTGTAAAAATAACTATGTCCATAAGGTGTAGATAGTAAGTATAGACTGGAAGTAGAGGCCTGGGCATTGTTGTTCACTAATTTACTCCAAGTAGGGAAAGGATGGCGGGGTTGAAAAGTTATAAAGGGGAGTATATATATAAAAAACATGGGGGATTGGAAGTGATGCAGACAATTACATTGATAGAAGATACAATCTATCTGCAATATTAAGCTGATCCATTCTAGGATCTTTTATTTCAGCTCATGAAACATGGGACCAACACTTTACATGTTGCATTTATATTTTTGTTCAGTATAGTTACATTTGTAAATTTAGTGTACAGGAATTTGATTAATGGTAATAGAATATAAACCTTGTATCGAGTACTCGTGCCTATCCCTAATAGACATCAATTGCACATCACACAGATTGGCAAACTCCTATTGGTGTTAGTCTGCTTGTTGTTAGACAATAACAGACACACCGTAGGCGACCATGTAACTGCACTGTGCATTGACCAAAGTTGATTATCGAAATCTCATCGACATCCATTCCTTTGGAAATAATGATAGTATGATCTGATTAAAGGACAACCACAAAGAAAGTTGTGCTTTCTGACCCTGACATGAGACTATATGTAGGCTAATATGTACAAGAATCAGAACTGCATTTCATTTTGTAACTGCTTTATAAAACACTGTTTTGTAACTGTTTTCGGGTCGAGTTGCAGGACCCAGATTAAGCCAATTCCTGGACCAAAAAAAACAGACTGCAAGTTTTGAATATACCCTTAACATCTGTGGTAATCAGGTTTAGGCTCAATTCGAATTGAAGGCAGTCAATTTAAAGTAAACTGAAATTCCAATTAAATGATTGAAAAAGGGAATCTATTTTCAATGACTTCTCAAACTGAAAAGGAGAAGCTATTTATGTCAAAAGTTGTAAAATGTTTGGATTTTAAATTCAAATCACTTCCTGAATTTACTGACTTCAATTGCAACAGGCCAGAGTAATTGATTTCTTGTAAATGGATAAAAATAGTGTCAACTGGCAGGGACAACTTAATTACAGAGGCGAAGCACCAGAGTATGACATCGGACATGACCCATTGATTGCATTACAAGAGTAAAAAACTATCGATCTGAAAGAGTTGTGGCACATTGCCATAGCGCAATGTTGTTTGGGGGGATTCCAGAACCAGTAACTGATTTCAAAGAAACTCCCATCACATTGCCTGTATCTCTATATACCATGATCACCAAACATCTCTCACTGGGGCTATGGAGTCTCCAACAGCCTATAGAATCTACAGATGTAGACAAGAGTGAACCCAATAAGTAGGCCATCTGTGCAGTGCAAAAACTTTCCATGCATCGCTCTAATATTCCTGGCTATACATTCAAGCAATACTGGACTGTTCAAATTTAAGTTCAGCTGGTCCTTTAGGAGAAGCCAAAATATCCTTTTAACCCATCAGGTCAAGTATAAATGGCTTTTTTTCACTAATTTCACAATGTATCAAGGTCACTCTCTTTTTAATTAGGACATATTGTTTAACTAACCTATAACCCTGAATCAATAGTAGCAAACATGAAAAGACTGAAACAATTGCTGTGTGGCTATGATTTGTCTTAATAAAATTTTTACATTACCATGTAGTTTACCAATAAAATGGTCTGATGGTGATGTGGATATACTCGGAATACATATCCCAAAGGAAATAAATGATCTCACTTCAATAAATTTTAATAGAAAGTTAACAAAAATAGATAAGATCTTACTACCATGAAAAGGAAAATACCTGTCAATTTGTGGAAAAATCACCCTGATTAGTATTATCCCAGTTTACCTATTTGCTTATGGTCTTGCCTTCGCCTAGCGAACAGTTTTTAAATTATATGAGAAAAGAAAAAAATCAATTTTATTTGGAACGGCAAGCCAGACAAAATTAAAAGGGCATATTTAGATAATGAATATGAATTCGGAGGACAGAAATTATTAAATATTAAAGTATTAGACCTATCACTAAAAGCTTCAGTCATACAAAAGTTATACTTAAATCCGAACTGGTTCTCAAGCAAATTAGTAAGATTGTCTCAACCAATGTTCAAGAAAGGCCTTTTTCCCTTTATTTCAGATTACAACAACTCATTTGCAATTATTTGAAAAGGAAATAATCTCCCAAATATCACTATTTCTAAAACAAGCCATAGAAAGTTGGTTGCAATTTCAATTTAATCCTCCAGAAACGACGGAACAAATAATGCAACAAATATTGTGGTTAAATTCAAATATACTAATTGACAAAAAACCTTTATTTTTTGACAGAATGTTTAAAAAATTTATAATCTTCGTAAATGATATCATCGGTAGGACTGGTGGAGTTGTCGCACATGCAGCTAACAAAAACATATGGAAATGTCTGCTCTACCCAAAATTACAACCAAATAATTGCAGCCTTACCGGAAAGGTGGAAGAGGAAAGTGGAAGAGGGAGAAAGTAAGGAACTTGTCTGTCGGCCTTGCATTAAAGAACATAATTGGTTAAGGAAAACTTTGATAAATAAAAAAGTATATCAGTTTCACTTAAGGACCAAAGGATTGACAGCCGTCCCATATAGATTGCAAAATAGTTGGGAAGAGATCTTTGACATACCGATCCCATGGCATAGTGTTTATGAACTGACACGCAAAACGACACCGGATTCAAAAATTAGAATCTTTCAATTTAAATTATTATATAAAATTCTTGCTACCAATAGAATGTTATTTATATGGGGGATACAATCTTACCAGCTCTGCAGATTTTGCTGTGAAGAGACAGAATCATTAGATCATTTGTTTTGGTTCTGTCCATTTGTAGCTTGTTTTTGGACACAGGTCCAGGAATGGCTAAAGGATTGCAATATTTACCTGGAGCTAACCTTGCAGATAGCATTACTGGGTGATCTGAAAAGTCATAGTCAATCAATCAATAATACTTTTAGCAAAAAATGTTTATTTTTAATTCACAATCTGTAGAAGCAATGAGAATAGAAAGGTTCAGAACTTTTGTAAAACATCACAGTACGGTTGAAATATATATGGCAAATAGAAATCCTATATGGATGGTGTTAAGAGATAGATGGGGAGGTATTGAATAGAGTTGAAGGATGGGACTAAACATCTCTCACTGGGGCTATGGAGTCTCCAACAGCCTATAGAATCTACAGATGTAGACAAGAGTGAACCCAATAAGTAGGCCATCTGTGCAGTGCAAAAACTTTCCATGCATCGCTCTAATATTCCTGGCTATACATTCAAGCAATACTGGACTGTTCAAATTTTAAGTTCAGCTGGTCCTTTAGGAGAAGCCAAAATATCATTTTAACCCCATCAGGTCAAGTATAAATGGCTTTTTTTCCACTAATTTCACAATGTATCAAGGTCACTCTCTTTTTAATTAGGACATATTGTTTAACTAACCTATAACCCTGAATCAATAGTAGCAAGTCTTGTACTGTATTGGTAGAACTCTTTTTATTGATTTTATCTCGCTGACTGACCATAATCTGACACTGGCAGCTGTCTCGACTGTTCAGTTGTACGTAGTGTACTGTCCCTATTGCAACCCTGGTAACATTCGGGTCACAGAAGTTCAGGTGATGCGCATCAACAGATGTGGAGGGGGCACAAACAATTTTTTAAAAGCTATTTGGTGGCCTCATCGCGCCTGCATGACCCGCAGGGATTTATATCACCGGCAGTCTGTCCATGCTGCTGCTAGGTAAATGGAAATGACTCTCCCATTGATTTCTCTCATTGTTTATAAGTGAAATCACCGAGGGGAATGCCTTTATTTTTGGTAAAACAGGACTACTGAAAGGAACAAGAGTGGAAAATATTAAACCAGATGCTAATCGATGGCTTGCTTATTCATTCATTTTGATATCTACTTTACAAATATGTGATGCTCCATATTCTTGATAAATTTACATCTATTCGATGTACATTTCCTTTTTTCCCCTGATAAAGGTAAGTTGCAATTCATTATTTGTATGTCAATGTTTAGTATGTCAATGACTTAACCAAGTTTAGTTTTAAATTGTATTTCTTTTTATGAAAGGACAGATGCATTAGTTTAATTGGTAAAGCAACCTTTGTGGGATTAAAATAGTCTGTGGAATGATATATTTTTCATGGAGTATTTGTTAATGAAACAGATTTTAAAACAAACTGCATAGAAAAGAACATTTACATTTAGTTTTTACGATGTATTGTTGAAGATACTAGTGTGAGGAAGTTTAGTTGCTAATTGTTAAATGTCAAATTGTGGCTTGAAAGTTGGCTGTATGGTTTATATAAAATAATATTAATACATTTCGTATTTCACAAAAACAATAAAATAAAAAAATCCTTGGTTTTAGGTAAACCCTAAATGCTTTTGCTCATTAGTGGGGAGGAGTGGCCCTTTATGTCCAATTTGAATTTCTGGCCAATATTTCTGTCCATTGAAGGGGGCCTTAGGCTCTTGAGGCATCCAAAAAGGCAAAAGTTCTATATAGCCTCTTTAAATGCCTCTATCCTCTCTCCGCCCCTGCCTCCTACTGACAGACACACCGATGCCCGCGTAAAGATGGGGGATTGGAATTTCCTCGGGGGGATATTGGAGGAGGTGCATATCCACTCCACTATGGTGGGAAAGATCTGGCTCACCATCCTATTCATCTTCCGCATGCTGGTGCTGGGTGTGGCGGCCGAGGACGTGTGGAATGATGAGCAGGCCGACTTCATCTGCAACACGGAGCAGCCCGGGTGTCGGAACGTCTGCTACGACCTGGCTTTCCCCATCTCCCTCATCCGCTTCTGGGTCCTTCAGGTCATCTTTGTCTCATCGCCCTCGCTGGTGTACATGGGCCATGCTCTCTACCGCCTCCGAGCCCTGGAGAAGGAGCGGCAGAAAAAGAAGGTCCTGCTGCGTCGCGAGCTGGAGCTGGTGGACGTGGAGATGGTGGCGGCTCGGAAAACGATTGAGCGAGAGGTGAGGCAGCTGGAGCAAGGCAAGCTCAACAAGGCTCCGCTGTCGGGGTCCCTGCTGCGCACCTACGTGGCCCACATCATTACCCGCTCCGCCGTGGAGGTAGGCTTTATAACAGGCCAGTACATCCTCTATGGCTTCCAGCTCTCCCCTCTCTTCAAGTGCGAGCGTGAGCCTTGCCCCAACGCGGTGGACTGCTTCGTCTCCCGGCCCACAGAGAAGAGTGTCTTCATGGTCTTTATGCAATGCATCGCTGTAGTCTCCCTCTTCCTAAACATCTTGGAGATCATGCACCTGGGCTATAAAAACGTCAAGAAGGGCATCCTGGACTACTATCCACACCTGCAGGACGAGCTTGACGACTTCTACTCCAGCAAAACCAAGAAAGACTCTGTGGTGCATCAGACATGCATGGCTTCCTCCGGCTGCAAGCCCACCATGGCCTCAGCGCCCAGTGGCTACAATCTCCTACTGGAGCGGGCCCAGGACGGTCACACCTACCCATCCCTTATCAACCCCTCTGCCTTCCTCCCAGTTCAGGGTGAACTGGCTGGTAAACGGAGCGTGGAAGAACTCAAAGATGCTGCGCAAAGCCCGACAGAGCACAACTCCAACTCCAATAACACCAGCAGTGACAGCCGCTCACCGCCCTGCGACTCAGTGACCCCGCCAAAGCAGGAGGAGCCTGAGGAGTCTGCACACCTTCCTCCTCACAGTGAGGAGGAAGAGAAGAGGGGGAGCCCAGACTCTCCCAGGCACACATCTCATGCCTCCTCCTGCCCGACATTGCTAGTAGGCGCCGGAAGGAAAACATGGAGGGTCAATGCTCCCTCAAATTGTTCCACAGTGGTGGAGGGCAAAAGCTCAGACACAGATTCTTATGGGGGTGCTAAGGCCAGTGGTGGGTACCGAGACCGGACTGCATCAAAATCGGAACCCAAAATGCGTCCCTCCACCCCAGACTCACTGGAGGACTCAACTTCAGGGTCAGGGCATAGTCCGAGACCACCCTCTTCCAATCGCCGGCCATCATCGACAAGCAACGCAAGCAGTAGGCGAGCCCCCACAGACTTACAAGTTTGAATGCTAAGAGTGAAACCTTATGTTTTGTCCCTCATCAGACATGCAAAACTTCTGTTCAAACACAGGGATCAGAAGAACATAACGAGTTGTGACATTTTGCGAACTGCTTCGGAGGTGGATCTGTTGCAGTAGTCCAGCAAAATGGATGGATGTGTTTTATAAGATGTCACCTCTTTGTTTCTGTTTATTGCTTACTGTACTGTTGATCTCCTCTACGTGGTAGTTTATTTATGTATTTACCAGCTTCAAAGCCGCCGTCATACTTTGTGATGACGTAAGACACAATCGATGAAACATTGGGTGTGGGGATTTGCCATTGGCAATATTGACCTGCTTTTAAAAGTGTTGTGGATAAGAGAAAAACAACACTGGAACAGTACAGATCACACAGCAGTGACATCGTTGAATGCTTTCTGTATGTTTCAGTTCATTTTAAACACCATTGTTAAGAGAGAAACCATGAAAATATGTCCTAGTGCTAGAACTACGGCTGCGTTTAGACAGGCAGCCCATTTCTGAATTTTGTTTCACTAATTGGTCTTTTGACCAATCAGATCAGCTCTGAAAATGATCTGATATGAAAAGATCTGATTGGTCAGAAGACCAATTGGTGGAAAAAGATCAGAATTGGGCTTCCTGTTTAAACACAGCTTATTGACCACACAAAATAGAATATGTAACCTAAATAATGTATATTGCATGAAAGAAGAATGACCTAATTTCATATTTATAAAAGCTTATATCTAGATTTTTATTTTGCATTAACTATGTTGCATAGTATGAGCACTATCATCGTAAAACCATGTATGACGGTTACAATGGCCCTGTTGATGAACTTTGGTTTCCACCTTCTTTTAGGCACAGCTTTTCTGTTAAGGGTTGTGGGGCTTTTCAGTTTCTTGTGCATTTCAAGTTAACGCCAGCAGAGCCTCTGTGCACACAGTACAAAAGTGATATCATGATGTAAGGTTTCTATATTGTAACAAATGTGTGAATAAAAAGGAAAATACCATTATGTTACTGTTTGTTTACTAGATACAAAGCATTGGTGTACAGTAGGCGAAGTACACTGAAAGCAGAAAAAGGGGGTTCGCTTTTATGAGAGGATGGAGACAATCATAAGGGACAAAAGCTATTATATTTCTATATATTAAATATACAAAATAAGTTAAATATTTAAACATAGTAGGAAAAAAAGAACAGGTGCATAAAATCCCTTGCCTTCCGTTGTAAGTAACAAAATTACTTAAATAAAGCCGAGGCACTTTTTATTCGGCAGCTCCATCCTCTTGTGTAGGCTCATAGCGTTGAAGCTAAGGAAATGTGTAAAAACAGAGATTCTATTAATTAATTAGGTAGTTTTGAAAAGTCAAGCCTACCATGTATAGATCATCATACTCAATGAAAAAGAATCACAGGTAGGCCTACCCTGTTCTTGAGTTCTGTGTTCTCCTCGGCCAGCAGCTCACACCTCTGCCTCACATCTCTTAGCTCCTGCTGGAGTGCCTCAGTGTCTGCAGACTCCTGGCCAGCCACACCCAAGTGTTGCTTGACAAAACTGGATCTTGTTAAAGAAATTAGTGTGCTGAGGAGGAATTAGATTCGTTCTCAACCTCGTTGTCATTGGAAATGAGTTATTGTTCTAATATTTTAGAAAAGCATCCCATCAGGATCTGTGACAGTCTACACTTGTTCTGTCTGTGTGAGCACTGCAGATTGCTAGAACACTAAAGGCAACAGAAAGTTCAGATTATGAATGGGAGGGGTCTCGTGATGTTTCATCACATTCCAAAAACATAGCTATGTATGTCTACATTATGTAGGAAATGTTCATTACAAAAACAGATCAAACATTTTTAAAGGATACTCAAGTGCATTGTTGGGTTTCTCCGTCTCTTCATACAATGCCACCAGCACTGTAATAAGGAAAGGCACAAGCAGTTTTCGTAATTGGCATCAGCCAAATAAGATTAACTAACAATTAAAGTTAATGAAATATTCTAAATAAACACACCACTAGTGAGGCTGTCAAGGACACCAGCCTTCTCCAGGTATCTCCGAAACTGCTCTCGTTTGGACTCTGAAGCCTGTGGACACAGTGGCATTGAGACAAATGATACTTCCATTTTATTCAGGGTTCAGTAATTAGCTAGTTCATCCATGATGCTGCTGGATGTTTGCTGCCACCATTTTGCCCAAGAAAGGGAAGGAAGAAGGCCCTGTGCATCAAATCAACTGTTATTGGTCACATACACATATTTAGCAGATGTTATTGCGGGTGTAACAAAACGCTTGTGTTCCTAGCTCCGACAGTGCAGTAGTATCTAACAATTCACAACAATACACACATCTAAAAGTAAAAGAATGGAATTAAGAAATATATAAATATTAGGATGAGCAATGTCAGAGTGGCATTGACTAAAATACAGTAGAATACAGTATATACACATGAAATGAGTAAAGCAGTATGTAAACATTATTAAAGTGACTAGTGATTCCAGGGCTCCAGCCTCTAAGGTGCAGGGTTGAGTAATCGGGTGGTAGCCGGCTAGTGATGGCTATTTAACAGTCTAATGGCCTTGACATTCATCCCTCCCTGTTAATAAAACATAATTGGACAGGTGAACGCAAGGGCTCCACCACATGGCTTTAACCTGTCCAGTCATTTCTAATCAATGATTCCATCAAGGAATGTAATTATTTTAAGGATTTTAGCTTAAATGGGGCAAGAATGAATGCTAGAAAGATTATAGCCTTCTTTACAGTGTATTGAGGAAGAAAAAAAACGAATCCTTCCTGACAGTCCTGTACCTTGGTAATAAACTAACTAGCCAGGCAGGAATGGACTAAACTCCTCCATGGTGAAGTTCGTTTCTGATTAACTTCCCCAACAGATTGTAGCCGAGACCAGGCTTTGTGGAATCTAGCTCAGACTACATCGATTCGCCCAAGGTCAATACTTAAAATTATAAAACTTCTACCTATGTTTGCTGAAATCGATACTTTTTCAATAGACGTTCATCAAATACAACCACCGCTCATTGCTCTAAAATGGCAACTCAGCGCAAATGCCAATAGAATCGCAACAAGGAAACAGTCGGTGGTATCAATATCACACCAAAGACAGTATGAAGATAAGCTAAAACTGTTTCGACAATATAAATCTCCATCACACTTTAGGCGACGTTGGCTAGCAAAGCTCATGCGTACAAACACGTAATCGGGTCGAACGGTCGTCTCGCGCTGAACTGCGCATGTGCAGTCCGTCAAACCAAAGGCACTCCTTCGATATATAGTTGTTTTTGACGAACATTAAAGCGTGTCAGTTTGTCACTTTCACGAGGTTGGAGTAGAAACATCTTCAACTACTTAAGACATTGGCTTGTGCCTTTAGATTTCGAGAAAATGAACAACTAAGGAATAATTTTTCACTTCTCTCATTGACTTCTCAAACCCCAAAACCCTGCCTAGTCTGTTTCGCAAGCTTTCTCGGAAGTCTCGCGATGTTGTGCCTCTGGGTTTAGAAACGGATTATACCTGTGGTATTTGATTAACGTTTATTGAAAAAAATATGATTTCAGCAAACAAAGAAAGGCACGCAACAGTACAGATGATAAACATAGGTACAAGGTGGGCGTTTCATAATTTACATTTTGTCTTAAGTATTGACCTTGGGCGAATCGATGTAGTTGGGACTACATTCCACAAAACCTGGTCTCGGCTCCACTCAGTTGGTGAAGTTCATCAGAAAATTCCTTCACCGTGGAGTTTAGTCCGCTTCTTAGCCAGCTAACTAGCAAATGTGTAACGCGCTAAATTAGCTAGCTAGTTACATCTGGGAAAACTTTTCAAGCTCGCCTGGTTGTGGAAACAATGTCATTTTTGTGTTTTACAGACTCCATCGTTACTCACGCCATTGTAAAACATATTCAGTATGCAGTCCACTTACTCTGTAGTGTGCCATTATGAAGTTAAACCTTGGCTTTACTGCTAACTCACGTTCTGACGTCTCTCACGACCTGCAAGTTTCCCTAGCAGCCTTGGCCCTTGAAGTCAACACAAGCACGCTCGTGCTCAGAGAATGCGCAGTGTAGTTTATTGAAATACTTTCTGTACGGTCTTTTTCTGCCCTCTGCTGGTGATTTTGTAGGCATCACACAGACAGTTTTACACTTTACATTTTGATTGAATGTGGATTCATTCCACAGATGGGAAAACCATACTGGAATTACTGGAATATCATTTATTGTATAAGATTATATAATTTTACTATGAATCAAATGGATACATCAATCGTGAATTGACCCCCCCCACACAATATCTACTTTCCCCACGGTCATCCAGTAAAAAAAAAAAAAGTCTAACTATCAATTTCCAGCAAAAAATAACTCCAGGTGAAAGGTCACAAAACAAGCCTGTGCACAAGCAGAGATACTGTATATAATGACGATATGCTCTTGTCTCCGCCCTAACCGGCGGGAAGGCAGACGGTCTGCTTATCGGTCTCATTGAGCTATACATTAAATTCGGTCTGCTTATCGCTGTATTCCCGCGTGGACAGATTTTGACGGGAGTGGACCCTCTCGCTTCGTCTCTTCCTCTCTGGCACTAGTCTACTTGGTCAGCTGACTGCAAAACATCTGACAAGGGAAGAACCAGTCTCGACAGATTGACACCCTGGTTACCCAATTATTATTCGTATCCTATCTACATCGTCCAATTAGATTCGGAGGTGGGTTCAAGAGCAGGGTTTTGGCGAAAGGGAAACATAGGGGACCCTAAGATCTAAAGGAGAAGGAAGAATATTACAACACACTCTGGATTTGAAAGTAACATTATTTATGCATTTAAACTGTACTTTACGTTTTATCGGCGGAGTGGAAGGATCTGTCGGTAAAAGCAGGACTGTGTAAAACTAATAGGGTGAGTGGGGATTGGGGAAGCGCGCGTCGTCGGGTCAAAATGTCGATTCAGTACGAAGTGGAACCGCTGGCAGACAGCTACGGGGTAGCGGACTCGTTTCCCAAAGATTTTGGCTATGGAGAAGAGGAGGCCGACATCGAGGATAGCCCAACTCCATCTGACAGCAAACCTAGAATTCTGTTGATGGGTTTGCGGAGAAGTGGCAAGTCGTCAATACAGAAGGTAGGAAGAGATCTCGGCGGACATGATTCATCTGTCTTTACATAACGCCTTATTTTGGTTCAAACAGCAACTATAGCTATCATCACCAGTTATTTAGATAGCTAGTTAACATTGCCACAACTTCTAAACATTCCTGAGGTTAATATAGTACCATGTATCCACTCTGAACGTCATACCTTAATGTCAAAGACCAGTTGTCATCCTGGTCTGGATAGCAAGTTACTGCTACAGGACAAGCAAGCAAACACGTTAGTATAGCTAACATCAACAGATATGGTCAGGTTTATAAACTAGCTTGTTTGTTCAGCTAACAACACAATTAATTCAACCGTATTTATGTCAAATAAACGTTTGCAAGGTAACTTGTTAATCATTTATCAGGTGAAAGCATGTTTCTTGTTCGACACTCGTGTGTGTGTGTGTGCGCGCGGTGTGATCACCTGTATGGATTGGGCACGAGACTGCCTCTCTAAAATCCCTCCCCTGGCCTTCCAAAACTTGTCAGACACTCGCAGTCAACATTATATTACTAAACCACCTGACTCATGACAGCAGAGATACAGCCACACGCCTTACATTTTGCAAGTCATATCATCACTTATATGGTTCAATAAGTATACTCTTTCCAGGACAATACAATTCATTCAAGATGCACCATACCACTTTACTCATTAGAGTTGGGAGAAATTCTATGGCCTTTATTCGTCATTTGCCACTTTTAGATTGTACACTGTAGCCTAGATAACTAATTTATCATAGATGTAGTTGTTTTTTTGCAGACATTTTGGCGTTGTTGTTAAGATGCTGGGGGCAATGCCTTCACCCATTTGATACAGGGCGGGAGAAATCATGTAAACTGAAATTAATCTAAAAGTATTTCTGCTTCAGTAGTAGAAGATACAAGAGTCACAACACATAATGTATTAAAGAGACTTAACGGTACTTTTGCATACTTTTTAGCCAGTAGTTCTGAAAGTAGCCCACATGGGGGGGAAATGGCAAGGCACAGCTTCAATAAAACAGTCGCTTTCAAACTAGGGATTTTGTGGCTATTTGAGATAAAACAGTAATTCTGCTCATAGATTATGCATGTATGAACTACATATTGACACATCCAGCCCAAAGCGGGACGTTTAAAAAAAAAAACTTTTAGTCACCAAAGTACAGGAGCATTTCTTTTAAGGGTGCCAAACTATATATTTACATGGCTTATTTGTGTTCCTTTCAAATATATTTTCATTCATAGGCTATGGTTGTGCAGTGCTACACTGTTGTTGAAGGCCCATGTAAATTCATGACCCTAAGTGCTGAGCCGCAGAGTACGTTCTTCCCTTAAGCCTCTCGCTAGTCCAGAAACATGTGATTTGGCTTTTTCCTCTGTTAGTAGTGACCCCAGTTACGTGACGGAATAACAAACTCTCAAACTGAAGTCTCTCTCTTTAGTATTTTGAGAAGGAAGCAGTAGTTCTAGGTGTGGTCATTTTGTCTTAACATCACTATGTCTAATTGCCTGTTTCAGGTGGTATTCCACAAAATGTCTCCCAACGAGACGTTGTTCCTGGAGAGCACCAACAAGATCTACAAGGACGACATCTCCAGTAGCTCATTTGTCAACTTCCAGATCTGGGACTTCCCGGGTCAAGTGGACTTCTTCGACCCCACCTTTGACTACGAGATGATCTTCAGAGGCACGGGGGCTTTGATATTCGTCATTGACGCACAGGTGAAAAGATTGAGTGGAAGCGTATTAAAAACACAACGGTTGACTGACTTACTGACATGTTGATAACCATAATTGATGAAATGTCTGATCCCATAGAAATAGAATTACTAGAAAGTGAAAAAGCCCTTCAGACCACAGCATTTTAACAGAACACTCATGTCATGGGTAATGTCTGAACCTGTTCTATGGCCTTTACACTGAATGAAATGTATTCAAACTGACTGAACTGTATAGTTTATAAACATATTTTGTATTTATAGAGAAGTGGATGATATAGGCTTAGGCTAGAATACTTCTACTCTGCAGCACAGGATAAGCTTCTAATGTTGAAACGTTAAGTGACCCACCGCTTCAAAGACAATTGATTGTCACAGATGTTTTCCCAAGACAGTGCACATTGTTATCCTAACTGCTGGAACAAAGTGATCTTAACCATTATCTAAATCAAAGCTAATTTGATCAGGGAGGCCATAAGGGATCAAAGATGCCATATCTATCTCAGTTTAATGATCGCATTGAAAGGAGTTCCCAGAGTCACTACATTTCTATCTTTCTGGGTTGTGTTTAGTAGAACACGCAAATACATTTTTTTTTCAAACATTTTGCAACGGAATACGAAATTGAGCGTTTCTTATTGGACATGTCCAGGTAGTCCCTCCCTGTTTCACTCCATTTTCTTCCGTTTGGTGCCTAATGAACTAGAGGTGTGAATGTTAAAACCTTTAAATGAAATTGGGATCCTTAATGTTAAGAAAGCTACCTCGCTGTGAACAGCGTGAAGCGAACCCATGCATATACTGTGTGTGACTGTGAGAGCGACGTGTTGCATCTCGCTCAATATCCTAGCCTATTCATTGATGATAGGCCCTGCTTTACTGAAGTTGCCAGACATTGGAAGCTAAGAAATTGCGAGATACAGCATTCCATTGCGAGAGCCAGCTTTTTAATTGCCGATAGATGGGCCTAGTGCATAGTTCTGACTCTCTGTCTGGTGGCCGACCTGCCTATATTGTGCCCTTCTCTCCGTCCCTCTCTAGCACGATATGAAAGATGCAAGTGTTTTTATTCTCGGAAGTACGTCAACTAATCAGTCTCCTTCGTTCCACAAATACTGAATCTTAGGAGTCGATTCATAGCTGAACCGAATCTTGACACTCAGAGATGGGAGTCGACACCGGGAGTCGACGTGGAAGGAGTCGAGGAGTAAATTATTTTGTCTACTCACCAAAAAGGCAAGCGACAGCAGTGATGTCCTGTATGGCAACACTTTGAGAAGTGAAATGAGAAGGAAATGCAAACTTTGCGTGGTGGAATTGAAGTACAGTAATGGTAGAACAAGTGCAATGCTTGAGACCCAAACCGTTTCTGCATTGTGAATTCACATGGAATTGTGTGTTTTTTTGTCACATCCCTATAACCCAGAACAGGACAGCGTGTCCTCATTGCTGGTGTTTTCTCTCAACGTTAAAGGGACAATCCACCCCAAACCACTAATTCCTATGATTAACAGTCTTAAATAACAATACTTTTTTTGTGAACAAATGTTTCATTTTGTCGTTATAACAAGGTTGGTAGCAATGTGAAAGTTGTTGTGGAAATCTGTTGCAGTGCAAGTCAACTACAAAACCCACAATGCAATACTCTCTCTGGACTGGCTGGCTAGCTAGGTAGCTAGCTAGCAAACATAGCTACACACAATAATACCAAAGTCAATATCAGCATGTGAAGTAGCTAGCTAGCTGTAAAATCGCCTAAAACTGCACTATCAATTTAGGAGTCTCTCACCGAGTTCGCCTCTTACCAGAGCGAGTGCAGAGTATGTTGCTATAGCAATAACGTCTCTTTTCCGCGTTTCCAACAGACACACAGGGCACATTGCGGTATAGTACTTGAAGGAGAAACTGAGTTGAATCATTTGGTTCACTGTTTAGATTGAGCACATCTAAGCGAAATACAGTATATACTTTGTCATGATGATATAAATGGATGTATGTGTTCTAGACAAGTATGCCCATACCTTCTATTGGCTGATTTGGCGATCTGGAGTGCAGGTAGGCCTAATTAAAAAATAAAAAGTTATGAAATGTCATAGTGTGTTATCCCAAATCTCCAGTGACGAGAACCATGTAGCTATGACGCATTCCTACACGATTTCCTGATTTCACTAACAGACCACTTAGAAGTTAAATCATGGGGGAAATTGTTGTTTTACCCACTGATCGAACATAGGCTTTCACCAATTTGACAGGAGTTTCATGATTTTTATATCTGGGGGTGGAATAGCCCTTTAATGCTGTCACAATTATCTGTGAGGTGTAACTAGGTTGTAACTACGTAACATGTCCCAGGTGTTGTATGTCCAACAAACCTACTGTATCCTTTTGCCAGTTTATTTTGATTTTCCAGCTGAGTTAAATTTAGGAAGTGTTTGTACAAGCCACTGTACTGAGGCAGTGTGGCACTCCATATCTCACTAGCGTTCAGTATCTCTCAGTGCAGATGCAGAATTCGCAGGGAAATAAATTGGCAGGCTTGCTCAACACATCCAATGTTGTCACACATTTTTGCAGTGGGACTTGCAAGATTTTGGAATCTGAAGGATTGTATAATGGTTATGTTGAAATCTTTGATTGCTTTAATCAAAAAATAGCCTAATTCTCCAGGAATTCTGGCTCACCCTCCCCACCACTGGGACTGTAACAAGTAGGATATATGGGTGTAGGGGATTGTAATTTGGCATAGGGGATTGTGTTATGCATGTTGGATGGAAATGGAAATGTGAATGCAGGCAGCAGGATGCATGTAGTCGACTTTTTAAGCACAGTTGTACACTACTTTGTTTTAAGCCACCTTTTTCTAAGGCTCTCTGTGTGTGTCTCGGTCTGTCTGTCTCTGTTTGTGCGTGTGTTCTTCTTTTAATCTTCTCCCTGCCCAGGATGACTATGTGGAGGCATTGGGCAGACTCCACCTCACCGTGTCACGGGCCTACAGGGTCAACCCTGAGATTAACTTTGAGGTGTTCATCCACAAAGTGGACGGCCTCTCCGACGACCACAAGATCGAGACCCAGAGGGACATCCACCAGAGAGCCAACGACGACCTGGCAGACGCCAGCCTAGAGAAGCTTCACCTCAGGTAGGTCCACAGACACTCACCCTTAAAGGGATAGTTCAAAAAATCTAACCATCCTTTTAATCCTCCCATTGAAAACCTACAGAAAGAGCAGCTATGCTAAGCTAATTAGCCTTCTCAGCTTATTGCCTTGCTATTGTTGGTTAGTATTCTCTTTTTCTACTGTTTCAACCCAGCAATGACCTCATGGGAGTTCAGTTGATGTGCATTTGACTAAAATGCTAGCAGTTTTAGCACTGGTCAGCCATTTTTTTTCACAACATAAGCTAGTCATCCGTGCTGCCAAGTCATTTCCTGTGGCTTCTGCCACTGTCACTTTGGTTATTTTCTAAATAGCAGGATTGATTTTGGAATATGGCTGAAATCTGACTGAATCAGATCACACTTGAGATTCCACTGATGTTGATGCAGTGAAAATTGCTTCAACCAGTTTCATGTTAGTGTTAGCTTAGCTGTTAGAACCCGTACTCTCTTACTTTGCATAAGGAAGTTTGGGCAGTTTATGACTTGCCTTTACACAACACATGGATGAAAAAAATTGTCCACGTTCCAAGGCGATGTGGGGCGAAACACAGCCCTTGTTTTGGTCCAACATTTGACTGTGAGTGGTGCAATAACATATAATGACAAGGACAGTTGTCACTGTGTGGGCCTGGATCATAGGGTTAGCTTGTATACTTCCAGCGCATGGTTGTCATACCTCGAGCATTACTGTCAGATTCCACCCCGGCCTCTTAACAAACAAACACCACAGCAAGTGTTCATAATACAAACTGTCTGTTAAAGGATCAGAAAGATTACATGTAGACTTATAGAGCTTATAGTATATAGCCTATATATCATGTACCGTTATGCTCATACTTCAATGTTTGCTATTTTCTCTTTTGAAGTTGAAGCTATAGCCTCAAATTTTGAATTCTGCTGTAATGGTTGTTTTCGACAGGGATATCATCATATGACCTAATGATAATTTCCCAGATATAGGCCTAGGCCATTTATACATTAATGATACTGAGCCTAGCGAGTCGTTTTATGAACAGACAAACTGGTTCAAACACGCTAGAGCTCTGCAGATTTTCAGTACTAGGTTTTTCAATCGAGTGTGTGCCTTTCTATCCTGAGATGTAGGCCGATTTTATGAAAGGTGAGATTGCTGTTGGTGCACGCCAGACAGTTGGATTAGTGGTGGATTTATAGTGGAGCTGGGAGGAGGGATGTCATGTTGAGTTGGGATGTGTTTTGTTCTCTGCACTGCAAAGACATCTCTGTGCGAAGTCTGTAGTAACATCCACTGGCCTCTCTTCTCTAGGACCTTTGGTTCTATTGGTTAGAACTGCAGTCCTTAAAGTTTCCCAATTTTCTATCACTACTATTATTTATAGAATTCCTGAAAATGTTACGCTACCGTAATGCTTTTGTAATACATTGTTTTGCTAATATTTTAGTTTCTACAGTTGGACTGTCCCAAAACGTAGTTATCATATCTGTTCTAACCTGTGCAAACCTATAGCTAACTTCCCTTTCTTTTATATATCTTTCAGTTTCTATTTGACAAGTATCTATGACCACTCGATATTCGAGGCCTTCAGTAAAGTGGTCCAGAAGCTTATCCCACAGCTGCCAACACTGGAAAACCTTCTGAACATCTTTATATCCGTAAGTACCAAATTCCCTCTTGATTTAGTTCTTGCTGTTTGATTTGAAGGCATTTTTGCATTTCTTACATTCGTTTGACCTGGGTCGTATTCATTAGTGCACACCATAACAAAACATTTTGCAACGGAAACTCATGTTTCTCATTAGACAAGTTCAGCTAGTCCCTCCCTGCTAGTTGGCTGTACCTGCACCAAAACTCTAGTATTTTTCATAGCTTGTTCTCCATCTTCTTTTTAAATAGGGAGCAAAAATATTTTCAGCACTTTTATTTCCATGACTGATCAAAACGTGTTTTCTCATGGCTCCCTCTTGTGCCTCTACAGCAGACATATGGTGCGAAATTTGTTGAACATCGAATCGCAATAAAATCCCAGTATCGCATCGCAATACATATAGAATTGTAATACATATCGTATCGGCACCAAAGTATCATGATAATATTGTAGTACCCACCTCGCTAATGACCATCAGGTCGCTAATGGCCTGGTACTCAGGGCTCTATTGCCCCTCTAACCACTCTGACATAAATGCAATCGAAAATCACATCAAACACTTCTTCAAAACGGTATCATGCTTTTAAAACTCACCTCACTGTGATTGATCAATTTGAAGAAGAAGTTCAACAACAGGTTGAAACTGAGTGGAAAACATGGTCATTGTAGATGTTGTTTCAAAGCCTTAACACAATGAAACGGACAGCGCTTTCTAAGGTGATGATTCATTCAAAACACACCATATGCATATTAGAGCTTATGCATACGCATAGACCTATATATGAGGCCAAGCCCGAAAACCCCCCAGAATTAAAATAATGATTGTGCCATTATACTATACATACCTACCGCATATTACACATGGCAGAAAAACATGAAGAAAAACGGATTTAAGATGTCTTTGGTACATAATTGGTCTAACCTATACTATAGTAATCACCTTTGAGTGTGGACTGTATAATTATGCATACAGTGAGGGGAAAAATGTATTTGATCCCCTGCTGATTTTGTATGTTTGCCCACTGACAAAGAAATGATCAGTCTATAATTGTAATGGTAGGTTTATTTGAACAGTGAGAGACAGAATAACAACAACAAAATCCAGAAAAACGCATGTCAGAAATGTTATAAATTGATTTGCATTTTAATGAGGGAAATAAGTATTTGACCCCCTCTCAAGCAGAAAGATTTCTGGCTCCCAGGTGTCTTTTATACAGGTAACGAGCTGAGATTAGGAGCACACTCTTAAAGGGAGTGCTCCTAATCTCAGTTTGTTACCTGTATAAAAGACACCTGTCCACAGAAGCAATCAATCAATCAGATTCCAAACCCTCCACCATGGCCAAGACCAAAAAACTATCCAAGGATGTCAGGGACATGATTGTAGACCTACACAAGGCTGGAAGGGGCTACAAGACCATCGCCAAGCAGCTTGGTGAGAAGGTGAATCCAGTTGGTGAGATTATTCGCTAAAGGAAGAAACACAAAATAACGGTCAATCTCCCTCGGCCTGGGGCTCCATGCAAGATCTCACCTCGTGGAGTTGCAATGATCATGAGAACGGTGAGGAATCAGCCCAGAACTACACGGGAGGATCTTGTCAATGATCTCAAGGCAGTTGGGACCATAGTCACCAAGAAAACAATTGGTAACACACTACGCCGTGAAGGACTGAAATCCTGCAGCGCCCGCAAGGTCCCCCTGCTCAAGAAAGCACATATACAGGCCCGTCTGATGTTTGCCAATGAACATCTGAATGATTCAGAGGAGAACTGGGTGAAAGTGTTGTGGTCAGATGGGAACAAAATTGAGCTCTTTGGCATCAACTCAACTCGCCGTGTTTGGAGGAGGAGGAATGCTGCCTATGACCCAAAGAACACCATCCCCACTGTCAAACTTGGAGGTGGAAACATTATGCTTTGGTGGTGTTTTTCTGCTAAGGGGACAACTTCACCACATCAAAGGGACGATGGACGGGGCCATGTACCGTCAAATCTTGAGTGAGAACCTCCTTCCCTCAGCCATGGCATTGAAAATGGGTCGTGGATGGGTATTCCAGCATGACAATGACCCAAAACACACGGCCAAGGCAACAAAGGAGTGGCTCAAGAAGAAGCACATTAAGGTCCTGGACTGGCCTAGCCAGTCTCCAGACCTTAATCCAATAGAACATCTGTGGAGGGAGCTGAAGGTTTGAGTTGCCAAATGTCAGCCTCAAATCCTTAATGACTTGGAGAAGATCTGCAAAGAGGAGTGGGACAAAATCCCTCCTGAGATGTGTGCAAACCTGGTGGCCAACTACAAGAAACGTCTGACCTCTGTGATTGCCAACAAGGGTTTTGCCACCAAGTACTAAGTCATGTTTTGCAGAGGGGTCAAATACTTATTTCCCTCATTAAAATGCTAATCAATTTATAACATTTTTGACATGTGTTTTTCTGGATTTTGTTGTTGTTATTCTGTCTCTCACTGTTCAAATAAACCTACCATTACAATTATAGACTGATCATGTCTTTGTCAGTGGGAAAACGTACAAAATCAGCAGGGGATCAAATACTTTTTTCCCTCACTGTACTGGATGGACTGGTTACGTTATGCTACGTTCCAAACGTTCTATCCATGAGTCTGGGAGAGAACGTATAGGTCTAGGCGATGCTGTTGATTGTGCAGGGTGGCTTACAGAGTTAGCCTACAATTTATAGTGTATTTGATTTTGAATAGCCTAGTAATAGGGAATTGTTTTATATTTTCAAAATGTATAGGCTGACACATTACCTTTTAGCTACAGAATCTCACCACTGTGCGTTTCCATCTCCTCCTCGCTCTCCTTCATTCCTTTCTCAAGCGCGTAGAGAGTGGCTGTCAACAGTTTAATGAAATGTTTCGTTGTGAAAACATGTTACTATCAATGTTCCTGAACAGATTTCACTTGGTTTCCCAAATTAAGCACTGGGTAGCTGCAGGAACAGGGTTGGAGAGACCATGGCATACAGAGTTTGGGTGGAATATCACCTGTCACGCAGCGAGAGGCTGCATGCTCCTCAAACAGTGGTTGATGCATGGAGTGAAGTAACCAGAGTAGCCTACCCGGCATGTTTGAAAAATGAACTGGCGGGAAGGTGGCCTCCATTCGCTATTGCTGCTGTTCCTGCCCATTTGATAATGGGCCATCATGCATCATGCAGCCCATATATGTTTTGATTTCTAAGACATTTTTAAGGTTTGTATCATTCACAAAGTTGCCAAATAACTCTAAATATAGCAAATAAGACCTGTTTCAAATTATCACTTTACGCTCAACATAGCCACTTCATATCCATACTCGCTTTGGAATGGGAAAAATATCCTTTCTATTTTATTCAACTAAGTTCAATTATATTCTTCTTACTATAAAATCATGCATCCTAATCATATAATATAAAATAATGGCACTGGACTTATAAGCATATCTTGTCTGCTAAATGAACAATCCTACAGCCTATGGCATGGCACATAGCCAGATAACATACAGTAGGCCAACTCACATTCTGTTCTTCTGAAATACATTTTCATAATGTTTCTTTAGACCTGCCTAAAATAAATAATGGATTTATTGTGATGGTATATATTAAATTGATTTATGAGGTCCCTGGCCATTCCCAGCGCTAGCTGAAATGGTGTCTGGTGTGTGACTCACAGTGTGTCATCATCCTCGTCAGCCCTGATGACTCTTTCATGCGCTGCTTTTATGGTTGTTGTATAATACCAAGCTTCCAGACCCCAAAGTCTCTTCAATCCCAGTCAAAATACATGGACGCTAAGCCACCACAGTTTTGCATTGGTAAATAAAATATGTTATTTTTTAACTTAGGAGCTCAATAATTCATTTTGAAACCCTTGCTGTTGATATGACCTGAAAGATAGCTCTGAGATTTCTGCCAAACATAGCTTTTAGGAGTACCAAATGTGCACTGAGGGCGTTTCTCTGCCCCTCCTCCTTCCCCTCTTCCCCTCATCTCCCTTTTACCCTCCTTCCGTCCTCAGAACTCCGGCATAGAGAAGGCCTTTCTGTTTGACGTGGTCAGTAAGATCTACATCGCCACAGACAGCAGTCCGGTGGACATGCAGTCTTATGAGCTGTGCTGTGACATGATCGACGTGGTTATAGATGTCTCCTGCATCTATGGGTAAGGCCCCTAGAACTTAATTCCTGTCAGATATGTATAGTTTACAGCTGTGTGCGTGCGTGTTTTGGTGGTAATGTTTTGGACCACACTTTACTTCAAGCTGACAGGTATAAAATAATACTTTACTACTTGTTATAAGCATGTATGAGGCGTTTAGTGTCTTATTATAACGTTTGATATGTTAGGTCTCTGTATCGAGCACATTTTCAATTTTAATAAGTTCCTTACATTGACAGTTCTATATTGTGTGTTTGTGTTCCAGTCTGAAGGAGGACGGCAGTGGTAGTGCCTACGACAAGGAGTCCATGGCCATCATCAAGCTGAACAACACCACAGTCCTCTACCTGAAAGAGGTCACCAAGTTCCTGGCATTGGTCTGCATCCTCCGAGAGGAGAGCTTTGAGCGCAAAGGCAAGCCATCCACCACAGCATTTCCTCATTACTGCATTAAGCAGTCTGTCAATAGCTTCTACCCATTATTGTTCAATCAAGTGTGACTTCACTCCCACAAGTGGAAAATTCAGACAGATTTCAATGGAAGAGTGGCACAGTCTTATTTAAGGAATTAATCATGTCTTGAGTCTCTTGATTTTCAAGCTTCTCAGGCGCTAACACTCATTTAAGTGGCTGATGAAGGCCATCTTTGTTGCTAGTTAGTTTTTCTTTGCCACTGTTTTTGTAAATGTTCTTCACACTGGGTGTTAATGGTTTATCTTGATAGGGTGATACTTTATTCACAACTTACTCTTATTCTTTGTTTCAACAATACATGACTTATGGAGTAATCGACTGAGTGAAATTCAAAGTCTCGAAGATCACAGAAGTGACAATAGATTCATACCATTCTCTCATTGACACCTATCTCTCCCCAGGCTTGATAGACTACAACTTCCACTGTTTCCGGAAGGCCGTCCACGAGGTGTTTGAGGTGGGCGTTTCCACACCGTGGACGGGCTCCCAGGCGGCCGGCACGCCCTGCACCAAGGCTGTGACACTCAACGGCACCCCCCGGAGCACTGTCTAAACACAGATAGACAGACAGATAGACAGACAGAGAGAGGAAAGGAAAGAAAGATGGGGAGGGAGCGTGCGGAAAAGACTAATGGATTGGGGTTTTCAGTAAACCAATCATATCTCTCGCTCCCAGATCCTAAAAATCACAGGAAGAGGACTAGAGCAAAAAATTCAAATGAAGAGTCAGGGCTGAACCCGAAGCCCAGAGGGTAAGCCCAGGAGGATTGTGAGCTTACAAAGCTAAGCTAGGACAAAGCTAGGATGGAAGGGAAACTAAATGCAGAGATACTAGGAACATTCGTAAATTTCGTGTGAATACAAGGCATTGTTTTCTCGGCACCGTTTGCCACCAGTAAAAACAGCGAAATGAAAGTCCAACAGGACTGCTATACGCAAGCAAAAGCGTATTTGGCATTTGGGAACTTTCAGTGAGAAAAGGCCTCACGTGCTGCAAGTCCCAAGAGCCCTGAGGAAGCTTGATAATATCGCTGTCTGTTTTAGCTGCTGGTTCATCCATGTGAAGAACTACTTTTAAAAAATATAAACATTGATGTAACCCTCGATAAGGAGAAGAAACTGCAAAGTCTGTACGGGGATCAGTATAGTTGTGTAACCCTGTGCAGACTTATGAGTCGAATCTCTAAGGAATGCTTGGTGTTTATCCAAAACGCACATAGTAACACTTTCTCAAGGCCTTATTTAGATTGAGCTTGCCTGTTGCAAGCTTTCTCTCACTACTCACTCACCTGTATGCTGCCCAAGACTTTGCTTCTGGTTTCACTACTTCTGAAGAAAACAGGGTTCCTCAGAGTGCTAAAGGGATTGTAGTGTCCACTTGTTCTTTGTGTGTGTGTGTTGAGTACGTGTATGTGTGTGTGTGTGTGTGTGTGGCTGGAAAATAGGATAGTTTGTGATTATGGATTCATGACTGTGCCCCATCATGTTGGTTTGCCAGTGTATGCCCTATGCTCAAAGTTGCTGTTGTGTCATACTGTATAATGCTATGCCGTGTTGGAAAACTGAGCTAAAAAATAAACCTGTTATCAGCGTTGTGATCAGTGATGCTTATAAATTTCTGAAAACATTATAGATTCTAACTACAATATGTTGCAGTTGGATATCTGATTCATTAGAATCTTGCACATACAACATATTCTAAATATAGTATTCTGGAAATATCCCATTGCATTGGCTTATTCTCTTGGCTTGGCTATCAAATGATGTATGGAATACAATCACATTCTATATATATATATATATATATCCCTTGTGCATACAGTAGTCAGTTTAGCAATATTTTCTGCCACCGAATCGTAATACTGCCCCGCATGGATGCTTGCCTTAGACCAAATGCTAATAACACCCAACCAACTGTGCCAATCTTCAACTGTGTGCAACTCATACATGTATGACATCACAAGTTCTTTGAGCATGACCCTTCTCTTTACTGAGCAGGTGGAGTCCGATGCCATTAGGAATGAGCTAGTCTGGTCCCAGATCTGTTTGTGCTGTCTTGCCAAGGCGTGACAATGAACAGAAGAGTTGGCAAGAAGGCACAAACAGATCTAGGACCAGTCTAACTAGGAAAGGTCTCTGATGGGATCTATATATTCTGGTTGTGTGGCATCAATGGACATATAATTTCATGATGGTTATAATGATGAACAGAATGGTGGCAATGAAATGCTGGTCACCACTTCTTCAAACCCTGCCTTATGTGACTGGTCGATACACTCACTCATCCCCATCGCGCCGTCTGGCGCATATAGGACAGCAACCATGGCTTTCCACTTCTGGCGCTTCTTTGGCAATCTACTCTACTGTGCTCGAGCTCTCCTGGTGTTGGAGATCAGCATTCCGGTGTCTATATTAGGTCAGTCTCAGAGTCACAAGGAGTTGGGCCATTGCTTCTGGTTTGTCTGAGGAGTTTGGCGTTTAATGCGTTAGGCCAACAGATGTGGAGTGTTCTTCGCAGACAAGATGTGTGGAAGGTGAATTGTTTGTTGAGGTCCAGTTCAGTCACTTTCCATTACTCTGTACCATATAGCACAACTCTGGTGGATTTAGAATTAGGTCTTTGTGCTATTATCTATTACCTTGAATTACAAATTTGTTGGAACATTGTGAAGGTTTCACTTTAGCTGAGGGTTCTGCGGCAAGGACTTGTCAGTTTTATCACAGCAATCCACACGAAAAACACGAAACGCAGCATGAAGCCAATATGAAAACCCATTCCAAGCATGTATGCAATAATGTGTCATCAAGCTGAATTATTCTCAGCATAGCATTGCTCATTGTATTTCACTGTGGGTAGGGGAGACCAGGTCTAACAATTGAAAATGAAACGTGGGAAAAAATGACCAAATTTCATTATTCTGCCCTGAACGCAAGAAAGGTGTTGTTTTTTGCCTGTGTTTGTTTTGTTCATTTGATTTTTGCAAATAGTAGACATTTGGGACTATAGTAAATCCACTGTTGTCAGTTCTGCCAGAGGTTTTATCATTCACATGAAATAAACACTTGCACATCAAAAGCAAATGTTTCTGGTTTTACTTGATGTTTTAGGACATTAGGTCCTTGGCAGACTAGGGCACAATGCTGTATCATATGAAATCTGGTATCTGGCACAGTATCATAAACTCATGTGCTAGCTTGCCAAATCTCCAGGCTCTTTTTACACACCTGGAAATGAACGCTAGATGGTGCCAAATGACTTCTAATTTTTTCATCGTGTATTGCTATTCACAGTTTTGCCAATCTACCTGAATAATTTCACTATGTATTTCAGGGATGACTACATTGGCTATGATAGACTCAATCCAAATGTTTTTAACCCTAGCCACAACCACAGGGAGCAACCAGAAACACTTGGAGGAGAGATGTCCAGGCAGAGATGAGAGCGGCCTCAACTGGTTCGCTGTGGAAAAACTTGCCCTGAACGGAGAGAGATGGAGAACAACGGCCTTCGTCAATGGCCTATGCTGAAGGTAAAGTAAAGTATATAAATCCGACAACCACGTTTAAAAAAAACCACAACACAATAGACTTGGAGAAAAAAAGCTCAACCAAAACTTTCCTAAAAACATCTGTATTTGATCTATAGTTTCCCACAGGGGGCCAGTATGAAAAATGTATGCACTCACTAACTGTAAGTCGCTCTGGATAAGAGTGTCTGCTAAATGACAAAAAAGAAAAACATCTTATAACATATAACATAGGCTAATCAAATCATAGGTTAAACACGTAGGCCTACATTTTTCAACAATGCTATTATTTGAAACCTTAGCCCAGAAATAGCAAATTTTGTTGAGTTTGCTGTGGTTCAACATTGTGTGGCCCACTGGTTTACTGTGCAAAATATCAGCTGAATGGCTCTGCTACGAAAGTGCCTTGCCAGTTAAAATAAACCTCACAGCCACTGACGACCCATTATGTGCAGAGGTAGGCGAGGCAACTAAACACCACTTCCCCACAATTTAGATGCAATAAAACACTGACAGCTTTTTTATCCACTTCATTAAGCCTCTAATTTCTTATAAAAATCCTGCATTAAACCTGGCGACGGCTTCCCGGCGGTTCTTTAAACTCTCCTCCAATCTTCCCGCGTTGGTTTGATGGCTCCTCAAATAGGCCCTAATTTAAGATAAATAGTACATTCCCACTGTAGTAACCATGCCAAGGAATCTAAAGTGTGACAGTGACGTACTGAAATCATAAATTAACAATCAAAGTATAAGGTCTCTCAAACCCTACAACCCAACCCGAGTACACCATTATGACAACCCTACGGAAGGGCAGCTCCCGCTCATCCCTGGCAAAGCTATTTTCTGTCCTGGCACCCCAATGGTGGAACCAGCTTCCCCCTGAAGGTAGGACAGAAGAGTCCCTGCCCATCTTCCGAAAACATCTGAAACCCTCCCTCTTCAAAGCGTGTCCTAAATAATCCCACAGCACCCCCGTTGCACCGTCCCACCCCGCGGTATAAAAACGTATAAAGACTTTGCTGATAGCTACTTTATTGAGGAAAAATGTACTTACTATGACTGAGATAAGTGGTCCTCCCACCTAGCTATTTTAAGATGAATGCATTGACTGTAAATCGCTCTGGATAAGAGCGTCTGCTAAATCACTAAAATGTCTCAATTTGTAGACTAATCACATTCGCTGTTAGGCCGCCTGTCAAGCTGATGTTATGTGAATACTTAATAAGGTATTGCTCTGCAGTTTTAAGATGTATTTATTATTTATGATTTTTTTTCTCATAATAAGGTGAGATAGGTTTGACCTTAGGTATGGTGCATAATCATTCTTGCATAATCAATGGCATTCTTGCATAATCAATGCTTGGAGTTTGTCAGAATTTGTGGGTTTTTGTTTGTCCACCTGCCTCTTGAGGATCGACCACAAGTTCTCAATGGGATTAAGGTCTGGGGAGTTTCCTGGCCATGGACCCAAAATGTTGATGTTTTGTTCCCCGAGCCACTTAGTTATCACTTTTGCCTTATGGCAAGGTGCTCTATCATGCTGGAGAAGGCATTGGTTGTCACCAAACTGTTCTTGGATGGTTGGGAGAAGTTGCTCTCTGAGGATGTGTTGGTACCATTCTTTATTCATGGCTGTGTTCTTAGGCAAAATTGTGAGTGAGCCCACTCCCTTGGCTGAGAAGCAACCCCACACATGAATGGTCTCAGGATGCTTTACTGTTGGCATGACACAGGACTGATGGTAGCGCTCACCTTGTCTTCTCCGGACAAGGTGTTTTCCGGATGCCCCAAACAATCGGAAAGGGGATTAATCAGAGAAAATGACTTTACCCCAGTCCTCAGCAGCCCAAATCCCTGTACCTTTTGCAGAATATCAGTCTGTCCCTGATGTTTTTCCTGGAGAGAAGTGGCTTCTTTGCTGCCCTTCATGACACCAGGCCATCCTCCAAAAGTATTCACCTCACTGTGTGTGCAGATGCACTCACACCTGCCTGCTGCCATTCCTGAGCAAGCTCTGCACTGGTGT